GGAGCCTGGCTGGGTGCTCACCTCCTCGTGGTTCTTCTTGAGGTAGGCCAGCTCCTCCTTGAGGTTCTCGATCTGCATCTCCAGGTCGGCTCTGGCCAGGGTCAGCTCATCCAGGACTCTGCGCAGGCCGTTGATGTCGGCCTCCACGCTCAGGCGCAGAGCCTGCTCCGTCTCGAACCTGGGGACACAGACGCGCAGTTGCACTGGGGAGCCCGGCTGATACAGGTTTTATTCTTGTTGTTTCCTTCGCCACCTCGGCGTGTTTCTGCCAAGCATCTCGTATTAAATGTGCATGCACCACTCTTCCCCGTGCAGAAATGTCCCGACCCTGCAGTGTCTGGGAAGAGATGCACACTTCCCAGCTGTCACACATTTAGTGAGCAGTGACCTGGTGGAGCATCTTCAGTTGCAGAAAGCAAAGAGAAGCCTGAGACAGACTGGCTTTCCCTCCCTTCTCGTAAGAACTCTTGGAGGCGTTGGACTTACTTGGTTCTGAAGTCGTCAGCTGCCAGCCTGGCATTGTCAATCTGCAAGACGATGTTGGCATTTTCGACAGTTGCAGCAAGAATCTGGCAGGGGATAAAAGAAAGCAAAAGAGTGAAAAAGTAGTTCCAAAAAATGGTGTGCTGCTGCCCGAGTTCCCGTTCGGCAGGAGGACTGGAGCAGCACTGAACCTCCTGCCCGCGGGGCTGGGCTTCCACGCGGGCTCGGCAGAGAGCGAGGCAGGGTAGTGGTGCTCAGCCTGGCGCTGGCACTGGTTCGGTCCTGAGCAGAGCCGGGCACGCACACGCGCCACAGCCCGAGCGGCATCTCCAGGCGCCCACGCCCCGCTCAGCGTCCTGGCAGCGCTCGGGGCCTTGGCAATGCTCCACAGCCCCGCTGAGAAGGAAAAAAGGGTGAAGGCAGGAGGAGTGCCTTGTGCATGAATTGTTTGGCTTTCGTAATGGCACCTGAGGTGCAAATATTTGTTCTGGGATTTTGCAAATGATTGGCCATTTAACGAGCAGTAATTTCTGTAGCCACAAGCTAATGAAAAGCTCTCACGGAGTTCTGATGCTTCAGGGGATGCCCAAGCAATAGTCCAGGAACACTGATGTGGTGGATTCCCAGCTCCAGTGAGGGTGGGGAGGGAAGGGAAGGGTCCGCCTCCCTCTGCACCCTGAGCAGCGGGGTTCTGCGAGACCCAGCCCTTCATGGCTCAAACCTGGAGACAGCTCCTGCCTCCACATGTTCCTGTGCTCCAGACCAGAGCACGCTTGGCAAGCTGGAATTTGGAGAGAAGCTTTGTGTATCAAGGCAAGAGCCCTTCAGCCCAAGGCGAAGGCCAGGCAAAGGGTTAAAGAACTGAGGAATTCCAGGTATGTGATCTGCCCCAGGGGTCAGCCCCTGAGCCTGCCGGCTGCTGCTGCCCCATTGTCCTGGCGTTTACTCACACAGAGCAGGTATCGTCCTTACCCAACCGCCCACACCTCCATCCCCTCCAGTGGGACCTCAGCTGACGAAGGTTGCTGTCACCTGGCGTGGGCAGTGGTGAAGGATCAGGCAGTCAGCTCGGGATGAGTAATGTGAGCAGAGGGAGAAGGATCAGGCAATCAGCTCGGGATGAGTAATGTGAGCAGAGGGAGAAGGATCAGGCAATCAGCTCGGGATGAGCAATGTGAGCAGAGGGAGGACAACGGTGGCTGCTTAGGAGAGGAAGGACAGTTTCTGGTGCTTTTGTCCAAGGACTTTTGCCTAAAATCAGCCAGGGAGCTGCTAAAAATAAAGGAACGAGCTCGGCCATGATTTCATCTCCTGCGTTTTAGAGCAGGGGTCACGCCTGACTTCAGCGCCTCTGAAGCCGCCCACCACAGCCCAGTAGGTTCTGGCTCCTGGACCTTCACTCCTGTCTGTGTTTGCACCCCCCAAAGAGCAGCCATCCCATAGGACAGCGTCTTGCTTTTTTAACCTCTAACTTCAGCGTACTACCAGGCTAGAAAAGATCTGATTTGCAGGATATTTACGACTTAGCACCTCTGTTAGCACATCACTCAGTAGTGAACAGTGCCAAAGAGACAACGTGTCCCTGCCTGCAGAGCGCGTGCTCGGGAGCCTGGCAGAGGGGACACACGCTCGGGGCGTAAGCAGCACGGCGGGAAGGCAGGGGATGGCTGGCGTGGCAGCACGCGCCCTGTGGCATCGGGCAGCCTGAACCGATGGCTGATAGCCACTGACGCCGGCTTTCCTGCCCCGTCTGTCACCCTACACTGGACAAGTCGATAGAAAAGCCAACTTTGTGCCTTGTGGAAGACATGACCAAGAACCTGCTCTTCGTAAATCATGACTGTTATTACCAGGCCTGCTCTCCCCATTTTCCCATCTCAGACAAATTACCTGTCATTGTTAATACTCTGCAGCTTTTAGGAACAGGGTAATCTTTTTAAAGGTGACTTTAATGGAGATGTCTTGATAATCTTTCTCCCATGTGTTGTTCAGCGTTGGTTTTGGCATCCAGGTCACCTGGACACATCACATAAAGCAGGCGTCGGGTGCAGCCTGTTTCAGAAATATTGCTGTGCCACTCGGGTAGGTTCATTAGTCGTGATTTTGTCTTGGCACTGCGAATCCAGAACACCTCAAATGTGGTGTGGACTCTGTGTGCCCATCCTTTGTCACCTCCGTAATTAGGAAGTGAAGCCTGTGCCACGGTGCCATGGCACGCCTCGGCGGCGGCGAGGTGCTGAGCAGCGGCTGTGGCACGGGCAGGAT